AGGTTATATCAAACAAGAATGTGCATTTAGTAGAGAAGGGTAATTAAGCTGAGTCTTCTTGACTAGTCATTTAAATCACCACTCAAATCCACTCTGCACACTTTGGTTTTTTTTTTTTTCTTTTTTGGTCTGTACCATGCATTTTATCCACATGAACCAACTTACAGAGCAAGGCCTTGAGTCACCTTAAATAACTTTGTTTCCCCAGTAAAAGGTTCTCTAAATAACAGAGTTCCCACAAAGTTCCCTAAATAACAGAGTAATAGACAGCATAGAGCCTGGGACATGAGTGAGACTCAGATTATTGCATGCCAGGGGGAACAGTTTTTCAAATTTAATGCTGCAAGGCAAGCACCAAACATAAAAAACCTTCTAAGCCCAGTAAACAAATGTGTTAATGTGAGGGAAACACTTCTTTAAAATTCCTGCATGGCACTATACATTTGATTAAACCACAAATTCTTGGCCTTCCCGAATCCCATGGGATTGCCACCAAAAGAAAAGTAAAGATAAACAGGAGGTTCCAGAATACCATGATTTCCACTGATGCTTATCTCTTTTATACTACACATATCTTTGGCATAAACTTTTAAAATATCATTAATTTAGGAGTCTGTTTTTAGACAAATGTTATTCCAATTGGGAAGCAGTGCAGATTTGTATAAATGACTGGGAAGGGGTTGGGGTACAATTTGGAGGAGGCAAAATTACTAATAGTGAATAAGAATTTAAAGCTGAAAGAGACCTTAGAGGTCACTAAGATCTGCCTCCCTCATTTTACAGATGAAGAAAATAAGGCCCAGAGAGGTTAAATGTCTTGCCCAGTAAGTAAGCATCTAAGATAGGATTTGAATCTAAGTGTTTGTGCTAAGTCCAATAGTGGGTCCACCATACTAGACTAGTTTTTTGTTCACCTAGCAATTATCTGGGGCAGCTAGGTGGAACAGTGGATAGAGTTCCAGGAATCAGGAAGACTCACCTTCCTAAATTCAAATCTGGTCTCAGACACCTACTAGCTGTGTGACCTTGGGCAATTCACTTAACTCTTTTTACCTCAGTTTCCTCATCTGTAAAATGAGCTGGTGAAGGAAATGGCAAACCACTCCAGCACCTCTGCCAAGAAAACCCCCCAAAATGGTATCACAAAGAGTCAGACACAACTGAAAAAAAATAAAAAAGACTGAAAGCAATTACCCTCATCAGACCCTCATTACCTCTCCAATGGGCTACTGCAATACTTGATATTTAGTCTTCCAGTCTCAATCTCTCTCCCCTCCAATCTATCCTGCCACACAGTCACCAAAATGATTTTCCTAAAACACAGGTCTGACTATGACCCTATTCAATAGTCTAGTAGCTCCCTACTACCTCCAGAATCAAATATAAGTTTCTCTGTTCGACTTTTAAAAGTCCTCACAACTTGGCCCCTGCCTATCTTTCCAGTCTCCTTATACATTACTCTCCGTACATTCTTCTCCTATGTGATCTCTACAGTTCAGTCATATTGGGCCACTTCCTTTTCCTCCCACATGATGCTCCATCTCTAGCCTGTGTGTCTTAGTACTAGCTATCCCCACGTGTGTACTGTTTTCCCTCCTTACCTTTGCCTCTTGAAATTTCTAGTTTCCTTCAAGACTTCAAGTATCACCTTCTAGAGAGAGTCTTTCCCAATGTACAAGTATCTGCTATCACTGATGCATTTTAGGGGTACAGGGACCCCAAAACTATCGAGGTAGAGGGCAGAATCATCTGTAACAAATTCACAGACTCAAGCAGACTTCTAGTCAAGTGGCAAAAAGTTTATTATAAAGCAGGCAGAGCTGCTTAGAGAACTCGAAACTTAATAGGGGTGACACTGAAACTCATATAGAAAAAGTTCTGTGAGTGGTGTGCCAAATATGCTAATTAGGTGGTTCAGGGCAGGATTAAGGAGTGGTCAGCTCCTAAAGGAACATACAGTTTCGGTACCTTAGGCACAAACATCATTCACTACTGGGATGGCCTGGTGGGGAGCGGAGATAACCTCAGGAGTTGAAGTTAATAGCATCAGTACAGGATATTTTATCTGGAGGGAAGTTCTGCAGGGTCAACTTGTTCTTGTAACTGGGAGAAATAGATTGCCTCACTGGGGCCCACTCATGGGTTACTGCCAGAGATAGGGTCTTTGGGCTGGGAAAAGGTATGGTCCTAGGGCTGGGGTCCAAGAACCCCATCATCATCTATGCCTCCACATTTACCTAGTACATGTTTTATACAGCCTTTTATATGCTTATACATCACTTTCTCTAAGTTCACTCTCCCAACTCCCAGGTTACTGGCTACTTCTCCCCTTGGAATTCTAAAGGTAACCTGAGGGGTTTCTAATGCTATGGCTTACAAGCCCTCATCAGGGGTGCTCCAGTATCAATAAACCATTTAACATATCCGTTAAGCAATGAACATCAATTACCTTTTAAAAAGAGATATTTACTGAGAAGGTATAGTCCCCCCAAAAGTCTGATACCCACTGTCCCACAAGTACATATAGAGTCCAGGGAAAAGTAGGTTTGAGCTGGGTTGCTATAGCTCTCTTCTGGACTCCTTTCTTTCTTCTTAATACATTTTATTGATGCCTTGTCTTAGCCCTTAGCACTGCACCTAGTACACAATAAGCACTTAAAAAATGTTTATTGTTTGATTGTCTTTATCTTGAAGCCATTTCAATCCCTCAAGATTAAACCTTCCCTTGTGATAAAGAAAAATAAAAACACAATCTAGTGACTGGGTCTGGCAACGCATGTAATATTCTTCTCAAGTAATCCCCCTCCTCACTATCCTGAAGCAGTATGACCTTATAAGTTCTTCCCTCTTTTATTAAATCATTCAATAATCATTCAATTATTCAATATTAAATCATTCAATAAATCAAGTCATTCAATCAATCATTCAATCATTCATTATGTGCCAGCACTATGCTGAGCACTAGTAGTAAGAAAAAAAAAAGTCCCTACCCTCAAAGAGCTCAGTAATTAAACAACAAACAAACAACTATGTACATACAAGATATACAGAGGGTAAATTGGAGGAATCCTAGAAACAAGGAGCTAACAGTGGGGGACCCACACTTCACTCAATTACTCACAACGTGACTTCCTTTTTAATAATTTTAAGTTCAAAAATAGAACAAAATGAGACACCTGTATGTCATTTGAAAGTTAATAAAAAGAGATTGACCTAGACACAGCAGGATAAGCACTGAGAACCACTCGAGCTGATTCAGCTAAGAACAACTCCCTGGCCTGAGTTATCATCAAGATCCACCAAGTAAACATCAAGGAAGTTCTTGACCTCCTTGTGGCTGCTCTGAGTTAGGGTAATGAGAATATGACCTCAAGGGGGTGACAGTCCCTTGAGCCAACCAAGTCTAGGAAAATGTCTCAGTACCTTTTAAGGAAAAATTAAGTCTAATTTTAAGGAAAATTTGATCTAATTTGCATGTGAGGGGAGGAAGGGGTTGGGATATTGCACCCACCCTAAGCTGCCTCACAGAACACTGGAAGATATGGGAGAGTGCAAACTCTTCGGGTGAGAGATTTTTCTTTGTCTTTGTATCCTGGTCTTATTTTTTTGTTTTGTGCTGTTTTGGGTCCTAATGATGGCAGTAGTCCCAGTTAGTCAATTAATAACCTAATCTGCATTCAACTGTTAACCTAATTTTAAAGTTGCCTCTGGCAATAAAAAGCTAAGTGACTTGTCCTGGATATTTGCTGTGGCAGTTGTTTAGTCATTTCTATCTTGTCGTGAATCTTCATGACCCCATTTGGGGGGTGTTCTTGGCAAAGATACTGGCGTGGTCTGCCATTTCCTTCTCTAGCTCACTTTACAGATGAGGAAACTGAGGCAGAGTTGAGTGACTTGCCCAGGGTCACACAGCTAGTAAGTGTCTGAAGACAGGTTTAAACTCAGGAAGGTGAGCCTTCCAGACCCCAACTGGCACTTTACCTAGTGTGCAACCGCAAAGAGGATGAGCAGGTCTGGACCAACAAGGACACAAAATTGAAGCTGAGGTGTTTGCTGGAGGAAGGAAGCTAGGAAAAGTACAAAGGGACCTGGCCGTGAAGCAGCTAGACTGTGCAGCGGCTAGAGTGTGGGGCCTGGCTTCAGGAGGACTGAGTTCAAATGCCACCTCAAACACTAGCTGTATGAACTTGGACAAGTCACAACCCCTTTCCGTCTCATTTTCCTCATCTGTAAAAGGCTGATAATAATAGCACCTACCTCCTACAGCAGTTGCGAGGATCAACAGTGCCTGCCACACAGGAAGTACTAAATCAACGTTAATTACCACTATTATTATTCAAATCAGACCTCATACACATACTAGCTTTGTGACCCTGGATAAGTCACTTAACCTCTGTTTGCCTCCTTTTCCTCATTTGTAAAATGGGAATGGGGCCAGCAAGGTAAACAGAGCACAGGGCCTGGGGTCAGAAAGGCCCCAGTTCGAAACTGACCTCAGACACTCACTAGCTATGGGATACTGGGCAAGTTAGCCTCAGTTTCCTCATCTGTAAAAGAGGGATAACAACAGCACCTACCTCCCAGAGGTGTGTGAGGATTAAATGAGATAAGGGTACCTAGTAAGCACTATCTACATCATTATTATTATCATCTGAACTGGGAGAGCTACGATTAAGAGCCAGCGTGCATTGCCTTAAGCTCCCAAGGAACCAGAGAAACCACTTGGCTCCTTCAGTCCATTTTTTCACAGATAAACTGAGGCCCGGCCCAGCGAAGCGCCGCTAGGCCGGGGTCACGTGGGCGGTAAGCGGTTTGGGGAGAGAGGAAGGGAGGAGCCGGGCGCGCCGGGAGGCCCGGGGTCGGACGGGGGCAGCGCGAGGCGGGCGAGGATCCCACGCTGGGGCTCCGCGAGGCGGGGGAGGGGAGGGGACGGGGGGGGAGGCGCGCCGGCTTGGGGGGGGGGGGGGGGGGTGCGGAGGCCGAGGCCGCGGGGCCCGTACCTTCCCAGGAGAACTCTCCTCCCGGCTCCCGCTTTAGGAACTTGTACCAGAAAGTGTCAGGGACGCCGGGCCCCGCCCCCTCGGGCCGCCGCCGCCGCGGCTGCTGCTGCTGCTCCTGGGCTTCCGGCGGCGGCTCCCCGGCCAGCTCCACCTCCGCAAGCCACAGGCCGGGCTCCTGCAGCCCGCGCGCCCCGTCGGGCCCGGCCGCGCCGCCCGCCCGCTTCATGGGCACGGCCTTCTGAGGCTCCCAGCGCCCCAGCTCGGGCCGGGAGCCCACCACCAGCAAGTGCGGACGGCCCTGGGCCACGCCGGGAGGCACCACCACCCCGAAACGGAACAGCATCGCCGCGGGGCCCCCGGCGCGCGGGCCCCGGAGGGTCCAGCTCCGGGCCTTCCTCCTGCCCCTCCTGGCCTAGGCCGCGGCGACCTCCGAGGCCAGCCCGGCACCGACGCCGTGCGGGGCTTCGCACACCGCGGGGTAAATGTCAGCCGGGAATCCTGTTACCACCTGGCGCTGCTGGGGCGGGGCGGGGCTGGGGAGGGGGAGGGGAGCGAGCGAGCGAGCGCTGCGGGGACGGAGCCGACCCTCCCCACCCCACCCGGGCCCACGTGGAATAATTACAGGGGCATCCTCTGCCCCTCCCGCGCGGGAGCCCTGTCTCGTCGTTCCACTTGCGAGAGAAACGTGGCTCCCTCTCGCGGTGGTGCAGAGGCCTCCACCATTTAGAGTGGGGAGACTTACCTAATGACATGTGCTAGAATGGTTATCAATGCTACTGTCTGGCCATGGGCTCCCTTCTAACCAGGTTACGTTATAGCAATGCTGAAATAGGTACAAATGCTATTATCTGCCTGTAGATTCCTTTTTAACCTGGTTGTACTCCATATGTGTTACAATGTTTATAAATGCTATTCTGGCTGTGAGCTTGCATATGTGCTTTAATAGCTATAAATCCTATTATCTGGCTGTGAATTCTTTTCTAACCTGGTTGTTTTGAATATATGCTATAATGTCTATATATGCTATTATCTGGTTGTGAGCTCCTTCCTGAGTTTTACATATATATATAGATATGCTATAATCACTACAAATTCTGGTATCTAGCTGTTAACTTTTTAACTAGGTAGTCGAAGTGGAACATAATTTTTAAAAGGGTGTATATTTTCCCTTTTTTACTTTAATTTCTTTTTTTATGTGGGACAACATACTACTTAGGATCGTCTGCCCTCTAGCAGGTTGTTGATAATTACTAATACTATGTTAAAGTCACTCAGTCAATACACGTTTATTAAGTGCCTACTATGTTCCAACATCCGTGCTTAGTGCAGAAGTCCCACTCTTAAGGAGCTTACCGGCTAGTGGTGGAGACACCATGCAAACAACTATGTACAAACTAGTTCTATGCAGGATAAACTGAAGGTAATCAGTAGAAGGAAGGGACTAATATTAAGGGGAATAGGGAAAAATTTCTAGTAGAAGATGGCATTTTAGCTGAGACTTAAAGGAGGCCAGGAGGTGGAAATGAGGAGAGAGAGTATTCCAGGCATGAGGAACGGATGAGAGATGGAGTTTTTTCTGAAAGGAACATCAAGACAGTTTGTATCACTGGATGGCAAAGAGGGTGGCAGAAGTAAAGTTTAAAAAGACTACTTTTTAGCCAACCTAACAGTTCAAAGGGCAGAAAATACCAATTCAGATTTTTGTATGGGTTTAGGCTTTTTGTTTTTAATTAAGATACTCTGCAAATTGTTTTTTTAGATTTAGTTATTTTTAAAAGTATCAAAATGGCAGTGAGAGAATGTATAACCCATGTCTTTATAATTTGATATTATTTCTTTTTAGTTAAAACTGATACTCTTATTTTTTTCCACTTAAGAAACAACTTGAAGCAGCTTCAACCTGACCTATTCAATGGATACTGTTGATGCAGAAAATGCAAAATGAATGCCTTGCAGTCACAAATAGAGTTCCAGTCTGCCTTCTTCTACCTATATGATTTCTCAGCCCAACTTGTCCATCTGCAATGTCAGTTTCAGGTATATGAACTGATGTACTGATTCAGTTGCCTGGCCGTCTAACTGCATATCTCATTCTGGACAATAGGCATTTTTCATCCTTTCTTTCCCCTGTATGGAAGCTCCGTAATGTTCTGCGGCTTGATGTAATCAACACAATATTATCCACAAACAGGAACATCAGAGCACCTCACTGTCCACTTTTACTCTGTATGGAACATCTTCCATGACAGTGACATGTACCGTTAGTGAGCATCCCTCTTATGTTTTATGCTTTGTTTGATGTTCATAATTGAAGTGTTGTTTATCAGCGTATCTCTGATTGCATTGAAGAAATTTTCTGTTAACATACTTATGAGAGACTCCTCATTGGAAGAGAGCCCTTAAGTAGTGGTGTTCTAGTCTGTGAAGTCAAAACCTTCTTTATTGTCCAAAAAAACCCCAAATACAGTGGAATCTTGTTGTCTCTGTACTTTTCAGGCAATTGGGTGACTCAAGATATGTGGTGTATGCTGTAGGAAATCTTTTGTGAATGCTGACAGGTTCATAGTTTTAAAGTTCTTGTGATATATGTGTAGATCATTCCTGCAAAGACCTCATAGCAGTAGTGTGTGTTTCTTCCTCTTTTGGTTCATGTCATTTTGTCCTTCCTTGTGACTTGAATTGGATTTTTGTTTGGCCTTGAGGGACCCAAGGGGCAGTATACATTGGGGGTGAGGGTGTTAGTCATGGAGTCGAGACTGAGCGAGAGCGGTGCAGAGGCTGAAGAAGTGAGGAAAGAGGGGCAGCTGGCCTCCGAGGCCAAAGTCCACTTCAAAGTGACACGGTTCATCATGGAGGCCGGTGTCAAGCTAGGGATGCAATCCATTCCAATTGCCACAGCCTGCACCATTTACCATAAATTTTTCTGTGAAACCAAATTAGATGCCTATGACCCTTACCTCATCGCCATGTCAGCCATCTACTTGGCAGGTAAAGTGGAGGAGCAACACCTCAGGACAAGAGACATCATCAATGTCTCTCACAGATATTTAAATCCCAAGAGTGAACCTTTGGAGTTAGACTCCTGGTTCTGGGAACTGAGGGACAGCATTGTTCAGTGTGAATTACTCATGTTGAGAGTTTTGCATTTCCGGGTCTCCTTCCAACATCCCCACAAATATCTACTCCACTACCTTATTTCTTTAAAGAACTGGATGAACCGTCATAGCTGGGAGAGGACTCCTGTCTCTCTGGCAGCCTGGGCGCTGCTTCGAGACAGCTATCACGGAGCATTGTGCCTTCAGTATCCTGCCCAGCACATAGCTGTAGCAGTACTCTATCTTGCCTTGCAGTGCTATGGAGTGGAGGTGCCCGCCGATTCCGAGGCAGAAAAGCCATGGTGGCAGGTCTTTAGTGAAGACCTTACCAAGCCAGTCATTGATAATATTGTGTCTGACCTGATTCAGATTTACACAATGGACACAGAAATCCCTTAATTGCTCTAGGGCCATCCAAGGAGAAGTACATATTTGCTTTGTCTGAGGGCTGGATTTGACCCAGTAAAATGGGTCCCAACTTAAAAAAGTTGACAAGTCAGAGGGACCAGCTTTGCATTAGCAAAGAGGAAAGAACTAAGCTTTCTGATTGCTCTTTGGTATCTATGTGGTGACTCCCTGAGCAGGTTTGGAGCTCATGTTTGGATATGAATACGTCCATGTTGAAAAAGGAATGTACTGGTGTTCAACTGCCTTTTGCACCTTAGGAATTTTTTGAAGATGAACCTTTTCAATTTGGTACAGACTGTATTCAGGCATCTCTTCATTAAAACAAAAGCCAAAATAGAATACTTGATTGTACCCTTTGGGATATCTTTTCAAGCCATACATAAGCTTAACCTTCCAACATAAGTGAACAGTATTTTATTTGGCATAATAAAAGATAAACAAAATTTTTTTTTAATGTGAAAATAGGCATATAGTTTAAGAGTTTTTAGTGTTCTGTGGACCACATTGGGGGTAGGGGGTAATATTAGACATAATTTTTTTTTCCACTTTGTGTTATCTTCCTCTCCCTGAAATATATTATAAAATATGATCATCTTTTCAACACAAATGTTATTCAAAGGATCCTTTATGTTCAAAATCTTGGAACGCCTTGATCTCTAAAGAATCAAAGTTTTCCAGTAACCCTGGGGGCAAATAAGTAGGTAGTGGGGGAAAGTATGCCTATTTTCGATGAGGACTGTGTGCAAAGAATAGTGTAAAAGAAAAAACTATGATGGACCTGTCATGTAGGGAGTAACAGAAAGACGACATAAGTGACGAACTGGTACCCACATAATGTAAAAAAACGGAGAAAGGCCTCTAGCGTACTAGGTAGCTGTGTAGAGCATCTCTATGAGAGACACAGGAAAAGAATCAGAGGAAGAGACAGTAGAGAAGGGTTGCTATCAGCACCATAAAGGGAATGCCCTCATGGATGAGATCATGGATTGATTGAAGTGTTGGGAGAGTAGCAAAACACTTACAGTTAAGGAACCAGGGCCATATTGCCAACAGTTGGCCAAAAGAAACAATTCATCTTAAGATTTTCACTTATGTCATTTCTAGAACAAATCTGCTGTTTATAAAATCCATTTGTTGGTTTCCTAATAAAATAATTTTTTCATGGTTCTGTTCTTGTATTTGATTTCTGTTCTTTTATATGACTTAACATACATTTTACACAAACCTCTCATGTAAACTAAACATGATCACACACACAAAGACATGTTATTAGATATGTATGAACAACAACCCAGGGAAAAGGACACAAACTGGGGTGGAGTAAATAAACTAGGCTTCATACATTCAAAGTATCATTAAGCAGAATTGAAAGAATTCTAATAACTTAAGCTATATAAAGTTCTCAGCCTTTCCAGGGAGCTGCTGGTAAAATAATATGTTTTGCCCTGAAATACAGATCCTCCAAGAAAAGCTTGGTTGGTTGCTAAGCATAGGGGCAAACCTTAAGAACAGCAAGCAGGACTAGAAAAACAAGGGCCCCTTTAGTAGCAAAACAGGCAGACTTGAAGTAACAACCTTGTGGTTTTGAGTTAAGATTGTATTCAGTTGTTAAATGTTATAATAATAATTTGTGAAAGGCTATTAGCAGATCATTATTGCAGAAGAGTATGGTATCCTACACATTCTGGGGCAAAAAAGACAATCTAGACTAGACCTGTACAACTTGGCAGTAAGTAGGGACCAAAATTAAAATAGGCTAAACCTCTTCAGGCCATAGATAGGTTTTTGCTCACTTTCAAAGTAAAGGTAACTAGAGACGGACTGGGGATGGTTGGTTGCCATGGATCACGTGACAAACAGCGGGCACAGTGGAGGCCAGCTGAAAATCCTTCGGCCGGCCCGTTTGTTGTACAGGCCTGATCTAGACCCATCATGTCTTCAGGAAAACAAGAGTTTCGCTTACATCACTTCTTGGGGAGGGAGGAGGAACGATCGCTATTTATATAGAAAATCCCTCACGTTTCTGTAGAGCTCTGATTCATTTGTGTATTAGTATACTTTTTAACATGTGTAAACCTTTGGACCAGAGCTAGCCTCACTTTTTCCCCCCTTTTTTTTAAAAATTGAGGTCTTCTCCATCCTATGGATCAAATAGTTTCTGTAAGAAAAAAATAGCCACTCACTTTCAACCATAAAATGGACAAGCAATTTTTCTGTCCCCTCAAAGTAGCTTGAGTTTCAATAGTTTTTATTTAGTAGGAATGTGTGGGCTATACAGCAACTAAGCAGAAAATACATGGCATTTGATTTTGTGGTTTATATTTAAATATACAGTATTTCTAATCTTATACATCAGGTAAAATTTAGGCCAAGTTTAGAAGAGGAGTGCATCCAAAGAACAATCATATCTAGATCAGGAAAAATGTTTCAATACTGCTTTATAGCTTTATTGTCAGTCATATATATTAGCTAAAAGTTTTAGAACTAGTTTGCCATTGAAATGATAATAAAAATTAGTTTCTAGTAAAGAAAATCATTTGTAGAACAAAGGAGGAAAAACCCATCATATTTAAGTTATTTGCTGATAACTCTTAACTGAGGGAGAATTTGATGTATTTTCTATTACTAAAATAATTTTACCACTAAAAACAACAGAACAGACAGATTTAAGTGACTACTGGTTTTGAAGAGTTTTTTTTTTCTTTTTTTTAACTAAGTCAATAGTCATATACCATGATGTATATGTATGGATTATACTTGACCTCAGATGTATAGTGGAGACGGTGCTAGACTGGAATCAAGATGCTTAGGTTCAAATCCCCCACAAAACTTGGTCACTGTGTTTGTAGGCAGGTCACTTAACCTCTGTGGCTCTCAGATTCCTCGGTGGCTCAGTGGATAGAGGGCTAGACCCGGAGTCAGGAAGACTCATCTTTCCGAGTTCAAATCTGGCTTCAGATACTTACTAGCTGTGGGACCCTGGACAAGTCAATGAACCCTGACTGCCCCAGTTTCTTCATATGTAAACTGAACTGGACAAGGAAATGGCAAACCATTTCACCATTTTTGCGAAGATCCTAAATGGGGTCACAAAGAATTGGACACAATTGAAACAACTGAACAACAGCTAGCACATAGTAAGTACTATGTAAACATTAGCTATTATTATTATATGATGGAAATTCAGATTTTAAAAGCTAAGATTAAGAATTTACCTCTTCTAGAAACTAATACCATTTGCACCTTTTGTACTCCACTTGAATTTTGATACATCACAAAGGTCATTCATTAAAAAGCCATTATTTAGGGAGTCTTTGATATTAGATTCATGAAACTATGCTGATAAGCAAAATGATGAGAATCGACTAAGCAAGCATAGTCCCGGTTCTGATAGTAACTTTTGTTTGTTTTGTTTTGTTTTCCCAAAGATCTAACTAAATTTTAATTGAAATTCTACCACTAGAATACTGGATTACACCCTAAATTTGATATTTCTCGAAGAATGGAAAATGCATTCAAATTTAAATATATAAGACTTCAATTCAAATGGAAATTCTCCAGTGTCCCCACAGTGAAAGATATTACTTGCTTCTCTGTTAATTTGTTTTCTGCTGCAATCTTTCATTCCTTGCTGATTTGCCACAATTCTCTCTTTGTAATATTATTTTGCATATTTATGGCACCTCACATCCAAGAAGCTCAAAGTGCTCTATAAGTGTAATTTTATTAATTTTCACAACATTCTTAAAAGTTAAATAGGTATTATTTCCAATTTTCAGGTAGAAAAAAATATTGCAGCAGACTTCTAAATACAGCTAGGTGGCACAGTGGATAGAGTGCTGGGCCTAAAATCAGGAAGACTCTTCTGAGTATTTGGCTTCGGACAATTAATAGCTATGTGACCTTGGGCAAGTCACTTAACCCTGTTTTCCTCAGTTTCCTCATTTGTAAAATGAGCTGGAGAAAGAAATGGCAAACCACTCCAGTGTCTTTACCAAGAAAACTCCAAATGGGGTCATAAAGAGTTAGATACAACTGAAACGACTGAAAAACAACACACATCTCAGGGACTCCAATTAGCTATTAAGTGTCTGAGACCTTTACTAGGTCTCTACACCCAAAAAGATCAAAGAAAGAGCAAAAAAGACTCATCTGTACAAAAATACTTGTAGCATCTCTTTTTGGATTGGCAATGAACTAAACAAAAGGAGGTGTCCATCGGCAGGGGAATGGCTAAACAAATTATGATGTACAAATGTAACATAACACTTGTACAGTAAGAAATGAGAGAAGGGGTGATTTCAGTGAAACCTGGGAAGATTTATAATAAATTGTTGCAGAGTGAAGTAAGCAGAATTAGGAGAACAATTTATACAGTACAACATTGTAAAAAAAAAAACTTTTTAAAACCTTAAGAACTTTGATCAAAGCAATGATCAGCTAAGTTTCCAGAGTACCAATGAACTTTGCTATCCACCTCCTGACAGAGAGAGGATAGATTCAAGTTGCAGAATGAGACACATTTTTGAACAAGGATAATTTATTTTGTTTGATTATGTCTATCTGTTGCAAGGGTTTTCTGTTTTCTTTTTTCTTTCTAATTGGGGTGGGGAAGGAAATAAATGCTTGTTGACTGAAAAACTAAATTAAATTTTAAGAAAGCAAAAGGAAGGGGCAGCTAGGTGGCACAGTGGATAGAACACAGGCCCTGAAGTCAGGAGGACCTGAGTTCAAATCCAGCCTCAGACCAAACACTTTACATTTACTAGCTGTGTGACCCTGGGCAAGTCATTTAACCCCAATTGCCTAAAAAACAAAACAAAACAAAAAGAAAGCAAAAAGAATCCCGACTTTGGACTACATGAAATCTCTTCAGGGCAGAAAGCTATAGGAGGAATCCCCAAACTCAAACTGCTGATCCATTCCACAGAAAATTCCCATTGTAGGGGCAGTTGAGTGGCAGCAGTGGATAGAGCACTGCCCCTGGAGTTAGGAGGACCTGAGTTCAAATCCAGCTTCAGACACTTGACACTTAGTAGCTGTGTGACCCTGGGCAAGTCACTTAACCCCATTGCCTAACCATAATAATTTAAAAAAAAAGAAAAAGAAAATTTCCATTGCCATACACAAAATCCAGGGAGTAACCTGGGACTGCAGGAATGGTTTGTAGCCATCTCTGGGGCCACTGGTAGCTTAATAAAAAAAATGATGAATATAAATAAATGGCTAATGTTTATATATCATTTACTTTGTGCTAAGCACTCTACAGTTTTATCTCATTTGATCCGAACAACTGCAAGGTAGGTGCTATTATCTTCCCCACAGGCATACAAGGTTAAGTGACGTACCCAGGGTCACACACCTAGCATCTGAGGCTGGATTTGAACTCTGGTCTTCCTGACTTTAGGCCCAGCATTGTAACCACTGGGCAACCTAGCTGCCTCATATGATAACTCATTTATGTACACTATAATACTATATTTTTAATGTTTCCTAATAGTAAGTGACATATTACACTTTACATAAGTAAATTTGAGACTGACCAATGAAGATCCAGATCTTAGAGCAAGTACGATATGCTTTTCCTGTTGATGATTCATGTAGAGCTTTGTTGAGCTTGCTTTCCAAAGTGCGTGATGGAGGGATCCTAACTCCAGCCCTGGCCCTTCCCAACTCAGCTTGACTAGGTATTCTCTCCTTGTCTACTCTCAGCTTACTCCTTGGTGACAAAAAGTCTTTTACCTTTGTTGCATGTATACAAAAAGGCTCAAACAGCTTTCAAGTGAGAAGGAAGAAATGCTGTGGATCTTCTGGTGAGGAGAGGTAGGTAGGTAGCTACAGCAGCAGCAGCAGCAGCAAACAGTTATCTTTCCACCTGGGCCACCATGTGGCTGGGACTGCGTGGTGCCTATGTTTCTCCTGTCCTTATTGTATCTCTTCTTTCCAGATTTTAAGTGAATAAGTATCAGAGGTAGAATGAATCAGACTGTAGCCCTGTGAATTTCAAAAAGATGGAAAAACCACCAGAGGCCCAGCAACTGGAATCCTTTAAAGAATATTACAGCAGCCATACCAGCTGAGTCCCTGAGGAGCCAGTTCTGAGGAACAACATGATTAAACTAGCCCAGAAGTGAAGCAACCCAGTAGCTGAGACATCTTGAACCCACT